GGGAGGAGGAGGAGGAGGAGGTTCAGCGCCTCGAGGACAGCTGCTGCCCTTTGGTGACCTCCGCAGCGCAGTCTCTTTTGGGGTCGTCAGTTTTGGTTTGCATGTGTCTTGGTTCTGAGACAGGGTGTGTCTCTGCAGTTGAGGCTGGTGGAAGTTGGGGGGCCCTCGTGCCCCAGCGTCCCCAGGGCAGGGAAGTCAGGGGGGCAGCACGGCGCCCTGACTTCGGGTTTCGGGGCAGGCTGCTGCTCTGGGAACTGCAGACCTGGCGCTGCTGACGTGAGTCGCTCCCTGCAGGGCGCGCCCACGGCGCTGTCACGTAGTGGCCCTCGTGTGGAGCAGCTGCCAGGGTCAGGCTCGGAAGAGGCCCCGACGCCAGAGCCCTTCCGCAGCGAAGCAAGAAACTGCAGGCAGCGCGCTAGACGGAAACCGGGTGCGGAAGGCGCTGGGGCTTCAGGCGCGGGTGCTGGGCGGGCTCCGTGGGTGGCGCTTTGCGTGGCCGTGCGTGGCCGGGTGGGCGCCCCCAGGACAGCGCGGGGACCGGCGTGCGGCGTGCGCAGCGGGTGGGAGCTGGGCCTGCGGGCCTCCCGCGGGGGTCTAGCCGCGGGGCAGCCGAGCCCTCCGGAGCCTGCGTGAGCTGCGCGGTCCAGGCGGCAGGCCAGGCGAGGGCCGTGTGACCTGCGAGCGGGGCGCGGCGTGTTCCCTGCGGCGCCCACGCCCCGACCAGCCGCCCGCCCGCGCGCTAACCCGGCACGCTGACCCGGCGCGGCTCTCGCTCGCTCAGACCCGCGGAGCAGGGCGCTGCAGCCCGCGCTGTACAGCCTGCGGGAGAGGCGGGGCTGCCGGTACGAGGAGGTCAGCGAGCCGCAGGACGACGACTACCTGTGTAAGGGGCCCGCGGGCGCGCGAGGGCGGGAGCACGCGGGTCCGCGCGGCGCTGGGGGCGCGGGTCCCCCCGCGGGCAGCCTCGCGGGCGCAGAACCGGGCGGAGCAGGGCGAGGGCTCCCCGAGGTCCGCCCCGGCGGCGGGCTCGCACGGACCGTCCGCCCGCGTCCCGCAGACTGCGAGCGGTGCCAGGACTACTTCCTGGACAGCTGCCCGGCGCACGGGCCCCCCGCCTTCCTGCAGGACAGCGCGGCGGCCGCCGGCAGCTCGGAGCGC